CTCTTCCCCCCACATAATCTTGGTCAATTTGGGACTTTGTTTTGAGCCGGTTGACAAGGATGTTGAGAACCCATTTGCAAGCCCCACCGTAAGATTTGATGTGGGAAGGGTGAAGAATTTCGGAGGTGACGTTGCGGCTGAAAAACATTTTAGGCGAGAGAACCCCTAAACCAATTCTCTCGTAGTGTGCGAATTGGTTTAGGCGAGAGCATTGGCCAATCCAATTCTCTTGTCTTAGGCGTTGAAATCTCCAACATCGCAAAACTAGGGTTCAAATTTGGGAGTTTTTGGGGGAGCTTTTAACAGAGATTGGAGGGAATGTGTTTCAGCATGTGGCTTGGTGGTTTTAGAAGATGGTATTGAGCTAAAATTACGATTTTATCCCTCGATTTCACAGAATAGTTCACAGAATTTGACGGTGGGATCATATTGATACTAAATGAACAATTGAAGGACTATTGAAATGAGAAGTTTAATTGATGAACCAAAATTCATTTCAATTTAGTTGATGAACCAAAATAATACATGTTGGAGCAATAAGGTGCCATTTCAGTCAATAATCGTTGAGTATTTATCGCCAAAAGATGAAACTTCAGTAGCTCATGTGGAAGTCATTGGTCAAAATAAATATCCAAAGGTCCCACCTTTCCCCTTATTTTATTTCTATTTTCTTTTTCTTGGCTGGAGCCACCTTCCCCTTCTTGTTATCTAATCTTCCGCAGCCTGCACAAAATTCAACCGAGAACTCCAAAACCTTCAAAAACCCATAAACTAAAATTGGAAAGACTAGTAAATAAAAATTCAAAACAATTATGGAGATCTCATCTTTTACTCTGTCCACTCAAAGATCCCCACCTTCTCTCCCTTTCTCATCATCCCAATCTACCTTCTTGAGCAACAATGTCACTACCTTTTTATTCCCCAACAAAAACAAGGTCAATAGCGGTGCTTTGGTTCTGGGCAGGACCAGAACCAGAACAAGAACTGAAAGATTCAAGAAGGGTCTCACTTGTAACGCTTTGTTTGGTCTTGGGATGCCGGAGCTTGTTGTTATAGCTGGGGTGGCAGCTTTGGTTTTTGGACCCAAGAAGTTACCTGAAGTGGGCAAGAGTATTGGGAAGACTGTCAAGAGCTTCCAACAGGTTGGTTTCTTTTATCTGGATCTGTTTCGTTCTTTAGAGAATGGATGACATTTATTACCAATTTGATTCTTTTTGTAGTTATTGTTGTTTGTGTGTATGAAAATTGGAAGAAAATCAAGAACTTTCAGTTGCACGCAGCTAAATAAGGGTTTTGCTGTTAAGAAAACTTATGCAAATTTTGAAATTGCTACTGCTACTATAGTTCCTGCGAAAAGTGAGGAAACTAAAATTGGGTACCTAGGTTTTGACTATGTTGTCTAGCTGAAATGAAAAGTCAAATGAAATATTACAAAGAAAAATAAAGGCGCATGCTTGTACTGGACTCTAATTGATTGGAGAAAAGACTCAAATGTGTAAGAAGAGGAAGTATTAAAAGCAATTTTTATGCATTCGTTCTTGCGGTTCTTCTTTTAGATGGATTTTGTCCCCTTATAGTATTCCTATGCTTCTTCTATTTTGGTTAAATTACACCACCTCCCCTGGGGTCTAAAGGAAATTGTATCGCTACAACCTGTACCTCCTGTATTGTAGAAAGAAACTACGAAATCTCTCAGTTATAGTAGATTTTACAGTATCCTTTAATGCAGGACATATAGTTTTCGTCTAAGGTAGCTTTCATTAGAAGTTCCGGTATTGGGGTAGAAATTTTGAAGTTATAATATGGTGTTCAAAATGGTAATGACACTAATATAGACAATACTGGTCTATGTAATAAATCTTTCCGACTCCATTACGCTCAATATAAGAGACAAAAGAGAACTAGGAAGAAGATGACACAGAAACTAGAAGCTTCTCCACTATTCAATATTATAACAAAGGTTAGTGTAACTGCAAAAATGAAGGGAAGTCATTATTTTTACACCCTCCCAGCCCTGGATATGCCATAACACTAAGTTTGGTACAAAGGATTTAGGAATGGGAACAAATAAAATTATAATTTTACAAGAAGATTCTAGCACTTCCCTTCTAATATGTGCAATATCAAACCTGAGCAATGGTACTCCTTTCCTTTCATTATTCATACCAAGATTAAGGGGGGAAAACACACTCCTCTTCATCCTCCCCATTTTCCACTTATCAAAAAATAAGTATTAGATTACTAATCCCATTTTTCCTATTGTATCCAACCCTCCTTTTCACCAAACATAGTGCATCTTCAGAGAATATTTGGTGAATCTTGTTCCATTGATCTATATACTACAAATTTCTTTAGTTTTCTTTAATACGGGATAGAGTGACAAATGGCCACTGGTAGCTGTAGGATTGTTTCTTCGGAGGGAGCAACATGAATTACAAAACTTTTACAGGTCAGATTGTATTATTCAGGGGTTCAGGGGGAGGTGAAAGAAAATGCGTCCCATCAATTGCCTATGCAGTATTTTATCAAATTGAGATGGTCATTGCAACATAACTTGACAATTTTTGGTTTGATTCACTCTTTTTCATCTCAGTCTTTTCATTTCCTCCCGTTTACTTGAACTATTTCTTTCTTATAAAAACGAAAAAATAACTCCCAGAAAAACATCTTCACTTAAAAAGAAAGGTGGAGAAGTCAGTCTTGCGGAGCACCTTCTTTCAGTTAGTGACTAGGCCTCCATGCTTTCCAGTTCATATAATCTACTTACCTAACCTTCAATATTGTATTTACTGTAGACGGATGCATATAGACATCAAATAGTTGATTATGTGGCACAACTTTAAACTCAGTTAGCAGTATGTAATTCATTGATGGTCACTAAACACAACACCCTCTAGTATTCCCAGAACAAAAAAAAAAAAGAAAAAAAAAAGGTCTAAACCATAAGCATAAAGCTTCTTTTTGCATTTTAAAGGTTTTTCCCCCCCTTTTATGTAACTTTGTCTGAGGGTAACTTTTGTATTTAAAAATGTTATTAAAAGGGTGGGGAAGGTAAAAGACTAATTTTAATGTTGCTACTTTCTATCAATGTGCGTGAATAAGTGAATGATGGAATGACTTTGAAATCTTGAACACAGTGATTTTTTAATGTCTAATGATCTCATTTGGGCCGGCTTCCTTTCCATGCTCCTCATAAGAGTGTATTTTGAATCATTCCTTTGTAAATCTTGCAGGCAGCAAAGGAGTTTGAGACAGAGCTTAAAAAAGAACCCGAGGCACTCACAGAGACACCTACAGCTGTGAGTGAAGAAGAAAAACAAGAAGTCAAGGTCTCAAGCTCAAAGGAAAATGCATAAAGGTTGTAGTGATCCCTCAGTCGACGCATTCTCAATTTTTTGTTGTGCTGTAAGTTTAGGACAAGATCACGATTTAATACAGATCATTATGTGGAATATTTTCCTCTGGAACTGTATGTTTACCACTGCACTGATAATCTATTAAGAATTTGCTAAGTTAGATCAGCAAAAGCTGCTTTCTTTTGTTAAGGATGTTAGTTTTGCACTTTGACTTGAACTCAAATTGGTTTCTTAAAAATGATCCAAATTTTACGTTCCCTTCTTCTACTGTGTTGTCGTGTTGCATGTCAGGCTCATTGAGGGGGAAAGAATTATTTCCAAAAAAAGTTAAAGAAAAAAGAAAAACTTTTTGCTTTAAAAATAAGAAAGATGAGCTTCTGAATGAGGTGAGAGAGAGATACTTTCCCTAAAGCAGATTCAAGGTGTCTTATAGTGTAAGCAGCAGCCCTAACACTAAACTGTTTTGCAGATAATGGATTGGTGGTCCTTGAAGATGGCACTAAAAATTATAAATCATTTCTAAAAGCTATTTTCTTTTATTAATATTCTTTGGTTGCAACTTCTGCAAGCTCTTTAACAGGTGCTCAAATTAGATATAGAAGTAAATTAATACAAGAAATGCATAATCTTTGTCAACGTTGTTTAAGCTTTATACAATTTTATATCATATGCTTTTTGCCCTGATTGCTCAATCATACAATATTTTTCAAAAGTAATCTAAAAGCATGCAATTATAACAGGTTATGATGCACTAATGATATGTATGGGGTTGTTATCCTTGTGCCCGACTTCACTACTTTTTTTTTTTTTTTTTTCCTTTGTGTGGTGAAATACTCAAGTAATTTCAAAACAAGGCATAATTAACAATAAAAATTGCACTAGAGTAATATTTTGGGGTTTAATTAACTTTTTTTTCCCTTAGTTTCTGGCTTAAATCTTGTGATTTAGGTACCTTATGAAGGGCTAAGATCATTTTTATGTTGAATTATAAGAAAGCAACTCCACTAACTAAACAAAGAGCACCGACCCAGTAAAG